CCAGCGGATGCTATACTAAGGGTTGTGGGCTCCATCCTATAGATGGTTGCAAACCATTGGAGGGTGTTAAATGGAAAAGAGACATAAATGCTTCCAAGGTGACTCAGTAGGCAGAGGGTGGTGCCTCCAACCTGATAACCAGAGTTCAGTCCCAGGAATGCGCACTGGAGAGGGAGAGAGCCAACTCACAAAAGCTGTCCTTTGATCTCCTCACTTACGCCATAGCACAACAGCGCAGGCACTGTGGTTTCAGACACCTGGCCTCCATAATCATAAGAAAGAAATCCTAGGCTGGTCGGTTTGTGTGTTTGGTTTCTGTTTTCTTAGTTTGTGTGTGTGTGTGTGTGTGTGTGTGTGTGTGTGTGTGTGTGTGTGTGTGTGTGTGTGTATTTGCTGCTGCTGTTGTTCATAGCATCTTGTAGGAGCAGCCTAAAGTCGGGAGTAGCATAGGTCCTAAGAGATGCACCAAAAGGGCTATAACAGTCCAGAGAGAGATAATTCAGTCTGGAAGCAAGTTTGCAGGGCTGCGTGAGGGAGGGGATGACTACTCGATTCAGCTCGGGAAGCAGATCTTGGTTGATAGAGCTGTCCAACATGCAGCCCGGAATGTTCTCAGCTTGTCACACATATCTAGCTCGACAGACAGCCTTGCAGATGAATAGTTGAATCCTTGGCCATGATGACATCATTTCCAGGGAAAGGGAGAGGGGAGGTTATAAATGGGCTTCCCAAGGCCAGACGTAGGAGCAGATACAGGTGAGTTAACTTAGATAGTGCTTTGAGATATTCAAGTCCATTGTTAAGATTTTAAGATTGAAGGATGTAGCAAAGAATGAAAATTTGGAGTCTTTGCTTCCTTGAAAGAGAAAGGTCTGGGGAAACTGGGTTCCCTTTCTAGTATTTTTTTTGAGACAGGGTTTCTCTGTATTGTCTTGGAGGCTGTCCTGGAACTCGCTTTGTAGACCAGGCTGGCCTTGAACTCACAGAGATCTGCCTGCCTCTGCCTCCCGAGTGCTGGGATTTAAGATGTGCACACCAAAGCCCAGCCCCCATTCTAGTATCACAGCTTTAGTCAGGCTTAATCATCTACTGCCCCTTTAAAGGGGACTTCCAGCATTGCACCTCTGTCCTGTCTCCTGCCTCACTCTCTTAGTCCGTCTGTCTCCAAACAGCCTTAATTTACAGAGAGAGGGCAAGGAAGAAACGGCAGTAAAAAGGACTTCAGTAACAGAGCTGGCTCCCAAGGATGCCCCTGTGTAATTCCTGGAACCTGGGATTTAGCTGATGATAACTGACAAGATGAAAGAAAGCAGACAGAAAATTACAATTGTTTAACGCCTGTCCCTAAAATAAGGTGTCTAGGATTCCCCAAGTGAGCCCAATATAATCTCCGAAGTATTAAACTATGGAAGACGGAGATGGAGGAGGAAGAAAAGATTGACACAGTCTGGAAGGACTTGGCCTGATGTCACTGACTTTGAAGATAGAAGAGTAAAAGAATGTTTTAAAGTGCCAGAGGAAGACAGGAAAAGAGAACCCATGAAAGATGGAGTCAGTAGCGTTGTGAGATCAATATATTCAGTGTTTGCTATGGAAGTAGAGGAGAGCCAGGCCTTCCCTGAGACTGGTAGTGATTCCCCTGGAGCCTACAGAACAGAGGGCTGTCTATCACCTTAATTTCAGCCAGTGCACCTTTCACAACAAAACTAAGATAGCACATTTGTTTTATTTCAAGCCACTACGTATGAGGTCATTTGTTTCAACACTCAGAGAAAACTTACAAAACAGCTGGGGGAAGAGACTGAGAAAAACCAAGTAGATTAAAGATAACCTCAGATATTATGTATAAAAAAATCAAGATATGGTCCATTTATGTGTGAGTGTGTGTGTATGTGTCAATGTGTGTGTATTTATGTGAGTGTGTGTGTGTGTGTGTGTGTGTGTGTGTGTTCAAATAGAAACAAGAGGTCAACCTTCTCCAGTGTCTTTCCCCAAGAGCTGTCTCCCTTGTTTTTGAGACAAATTTCTCGGTGGACTGGAAACTGCTGATTATACTAAAATAGGTGGCAGTGAGTCTTAGGGGTCCCTTTGTCTCTCCTCCCCAGCACTGGAAATACAAGCATGTGCCACCACACTCGGCTGATTTACCTGGGTTCTGGAGACTAAAATGAGGTCCTCAATCTTGCATAGCAAGCACTTTACCTACAAAGCCATCACCACCTGCTTGATGCCATCAATAGACAGTGATCTTTTTTCACATCCAGTTATTATGGAAGCATATTGTAGCAGTATCAGAAACCAAGACAAGAGCACATCACTGGAAAGTATGAATCCCCAAAGGTCACAACAAACTACTGCACAAGATTCTGGTATGCAACCAGGTTTGGTCACTGGTGAACAAAATGACATAGTGATGTATGAGTTAAATGCACACTTCATACCTGTTGCCTTAACTCTTACTGTTAAGGCTCCGTGGAGCTATTTCACAGGAGAAGCTCCATTTGACTTTTCTATTAGATGATACATTCTATTAAAACTATTTATCTACATGATTCTTTTGCCTCTATGTTAATAACAAACTCTTGTGGTGCGGAGGTGCTTGCTATGTTTTCTGGCTAGATGGATTAAATGAGCACTGCCACTGGAGAACTGTAATGTTTTCTAATGGTGGCAGAATGAGCAGATTAATTTAAGCCTCTGCAAATTAAATAATTTGAGTTCTTTCTGCACATTCATTTGTCATACAGCTGGGGCCCTACTTAGATATCTGGCATCTTCTGTGGCCTCTTGGATCAACAGAACCAGCAAGGATTAATATCCAGAGGGATTCTTGAATCACTGTGACAAAATACCTCCTTTCATAGTTCCTCTCCTAAAACTACTGAAAAGTGGGCCATAAGCCTAGGTCAAATGAATCCATCTCTCTCCTAATTGTAGCTGCTAAAGATAATGGCCACAGTTCTAAGCTAACCTCTGAGCCTGGCCTCTGATACTAGCTAGCACTAATCAAGGGAAAAGGCTGAGTCAGCAACCGTAATTTAACCATAAGTCATGATGTGATCTCTTCTGGGCCCTAGACATAGTATATGATGGAGGACTGGTGTGTTTTGGGACTTGAGGCAAATGACTGAGGCCAAGGAGAAAGAATATAGCGCTACCACAGTTCAGAGCATGCAAAAACACTCCAAGTATGTTACCACGTGGCTGGGATCCTAAGCTGACCTTTCAGACACAAAAAAGATCCTTGAACTAAGATCTGGGAAGCTGAGAAGTGTCCTGCTGCCTGAGGGGAGGGACTGGCCATGGAGAAAGTAAGAAGAGTAGCTGGCAGAGAATGCCACATACTCTCATGGCACTTACATCACAGCTGTCACAACAGGCCCAAATTGCTGCAAGAGAAGCCAGGCAGCAGTGGGTTAACAAAATGCCTTAGAAAATCTCAGCAAAGATGGAAAAGTAGGTCAAGAAGCTAGAAACAACCAGCATAATGAAGGAAGATTTTTTTATGTTATCATTTGCTTGTTTCTATTTTCAGGATTACAGAGAATGGAACAATTACCTTATCCAAGAAAGGAAGAGACTGGAAACACGAAACAAAACAATAGCAGTAACAGGACAAAGACAGGGATGAAGTGAGACAATGTGATCAACACTAAGCCCTGTTGGGATTAATCAATAAATATTACCAAGCATTGAGCTTATGCCAGAGACTCTTCTTAGCTCTGGCAATACACCAAACAGGCATATAAATATCATATACATATATATATGCATATCGTATAAATATATCAAATACATATATATCGTATATTCTGATGATATATAAATACCCAGGTGTCAGTATGAATTTTATCCTCCTTAGTTGTAAAAGGCAAAAGGGAAAAGGGGACTGGTTAACCCATGCATCTGAAAACCTTCAAGCATAGCTACCTCTCTCAGTAGCAATCAAGATTTTCTCTATTTCTGTCTACCTTTCTCTCTCCTCCTCTCCTTCCTTCCCTTCCTCTCTTCTCATTCTCCCTCCTTCCCTCCCCCCCCTCTCCTTTATTTTTCTCCCTGTTGGCTTTGTAATCAGACAGTTTTGTGCATGGACTTGAAAGGTTCCGAGAAAAGGTACAGAAGAGGAATAAAGAGTAGGTCTCTTTGACAGAGTGTTTAGGTGACAACAGCTACTCACATCTCAGCTAGGAAACCCACTGGAGATGTAAGAACGCCTGCTGTGTGGCACTTTAGTGATGAAGAAAATGTAGGCTGTGCCCCTGGCAAACGTTTCTTAGTCCGGTTTCTTGTGGCTGTCTCCATGTGTTCTGTAGCTCATAAAAAAACTGTCATGTGGGGTTCCTACAGATAGGGGCATGTTACATTTGACAATCCACTTAGTGCTTTAATACATTGATAAATGGGTATCTTGATTCCTATGTTACAAAGAAGGATGAGGACATTTAAGATGGCGATAATAAATGTGCCCATTCTGACCCCAAGATGAGAGGCTGGTGTTATCAAGGCTTTGTCCTAAGGCTCTTTTATCTAATGAAACCCCTTAGTGTAGTTGTAGAATGACTACCATTGCTCTAAAGACCTAAAGATTCCTAGAGGGCCTCAAATAGACCATCAAGGTCTGTGGGAATGTTCCTCTGCTTGAAAAACCCTGTCCTCATGCTCAAATAAATACTTGGGCCTGGATACCACTCAGGGTTCAGTGTCTTCATCCAGAACTGAGTTTAGAGAAAGAAACATCAAAAAATAAGTCTGAGTTCACTATGGATCACAAAGGACAGTGTCATTCTGGCTTGTTTCTTCACTGCCTCTTTCGGGGTACACTGAAGACCCAGAAGGAGGTAGTCAAGTGGTCCAGGGGAGGTCAGGGGTTACAGAGAAGGAACAATGTCATTAAACTTCAAAGGGCAAGACCCAGGGTTCAGTCTCATTATGACACAAGAAAGGGATGAAACTGAGTTCACAGCAATCACTAGGTATGGAAATATAGTTAAGGGGCAGAAATCACTTCAGTCCTTTTCAGGGAGGATGCTTGAAGCCCATTTCCAGGCAGAACTGGAGGGAATCGGTTCCAGGGTCACTGCTATCTTGAGGTAGCTGAGTATCTCACATCTGTGTCTGCTGTCTTCTCCTCCTGTTAGGGATCAGTCAGCAGATGTCCCACAAAGGAATAGTTTTTGTGGGGTGGGGGACTGTTGTGCAGTAAGGCAAAGAGAGGGTTCAGCGTCTCTCCATGGATGACAAGTTCCCTCCAGTCCCCTACCACCGTGGGAGGCCCTCCCTTAAATGAAGTCAAATATTGTCTTTTGCTTCCTGAATAAGTGCATGCCAGACCTGTGCCCTTGGCTTTGGCATTAAAGGGTTGTGGTTGGGACTTGGAAGAGCATCATGGTGAAGGCGCAATGCAAATGCCCATTGTTAGTTCTTTCTCACTGCTGTCTTGTTTGCTGGGCCACACTTCTGTCTCTCGGGGGGGGGGGTGGAGACTGGGAGCCCTAGAGATGGAGCCGCTGGAACACTGTGAGTGAATTGGCTTCCCCTGGTGTTTTCCCACTACAGTAATTTTAAATGTTAAATTTCTGTTAATTAATATCTGAAAACAAATTTAAAAGTTGATGGTTTTTACATCTTCACACATGCAAAAAAAAAATGGATTCTGAACCAACTCAACAGCAAAAGACCCGATTAAGAAGCAGACTGTGGTGCCAAGTATTAAAATCCACTATTCAAAGAGACCAGCACAAACTAAATTATAACCTCTTAGAAGTCAATCACTCAGTAGCAATTTAAAATCCAAGTAAAGCAATATGTATGTAGAATATCTGTATTTGACCACAAAAAATCATCAAATAGTCAAAACTTTGTTCTCTTGAAAAAAGCACAGGACTGTAGAACAATCAATGCTGGTCTTGCATCATCTCAATTAGCAGATCCTGTTTTCTAAGCAAAGAGCTTCTGCCTTCATAGGTGTACTTTCCTGGGCCTCTCCAGTCGGGTGGCCTTCCACTTACCATCCATCCTGTGTCTCATCTGGCACCCCACAATCAGAAGTGTCACAGATTCCTTCAGGTAGAGCTCAGGACTCCCTGCAATGCTGGATGGCTCTCACAGGGGCAGTGGGGCTCCCAGGGGGCACTTTTTGGGGTGAGGGTGGATTATAGACTTTGCAGAACAGGCTAGTTATCAAGACTGGATTTTGAACAAGCAGCCAGATCACAAAATAGAAGTCAAAGCAGAGAGGAAACAGAAGACAGAACCTATTTGCAGAATAGAGTGCTACACGGCGAGAACCAACAAATCTGCAAGTTGGGGAAGAAGATTAGAGCCAAACTGGAGGAATTAGAGTGAATTCTAGATTGCTGAGGCCACTTCCATTTGGACCTCAGAAGACAGAGTGCCAGCTAAATATTCCTGACCATCCTCTCCAGGGCTGGCTGTGTCCCTGCATAGAGGGAAAAATAACAACTATTCTACAGATTCTACCCCAAAATGCATTTATATAACCTCAGTCCTCTGAAAACCTTTTAGAAAAATATATCTTATTCACTAATGTCATCAAAAGAATTTTAAGCAGTCAAAATGTAGACAAGTTTAGCAAACAGAAAATTGTTTGCTAAACTTGAGCTTCCATTGAGAGCTTGCAAGAATGAATCCCTTGATGACGGCAGGTGGATGAGTTTCAAAGTGAAGGCTGGCTTTGCCCACCAGCCTCCTCCTGGCCCTCGGCTGGTTTGCTGAGGTTGGATTAGTAATTGGATCAGTGTAATTGCTTGCTGGGATTGCAGACCGCAGACCTTCTGCCTTCTAATTTCCAGTTAATCACCCTCACACTTTTTGTTATCTTGATCCTATCTGTAGACCTAAGACTGCAAGACAAGCTGTGTAGTGTGATGCGCGTAGAACAGCTGGGGAGATGGGGCTGCCCGAGCCTTTTGAAGCCCAGAAAATCATGAGTGAGTGCGGACATTGGACACCGAGCTGTTTACACTATTGGATTTGGGATTTGCTTGGATCTGATTGTAAGCAGCCTTGCTCCATGGTCTCTGTTTCAGTTCCTGCCTCCCGGTGTCTGACTTGGGTTGTTTTCCTGACTTCCCTCAGTGGTGGGCTGTGACCTGGGAGTTATAAGCCAAAACAAGCCTTCTCTTTCCAAGCTGCTCTTTATCATGGTGTTTATCACAGCAAGAGAAGCAAGCTGAGCAATGAAACTGTGTGTTTTTCCCTTAGTACTGACTAGCACACCAATAGGCACCCAAGCGCCTACTGACTATGGTCAGATGAGACGCTTCGTCAGCTTCTTTCTTTCATTTAATTTACCTTTCATCTAGTTGAAAAATGAGAGCAATTAAAAGAACTACGTGTTAAAATTAATTGAGAAAGGAAACTTTAGTTGCCGAGTTTGAATTAAATTAATTTCAGCCAAGTCCTAATATTTTGAAACCCCAAAGAAGAACTAGTAATTATGTGAAAGTTTCGTGCTTTACACGGCAAAGAGCTTTTTGTCTCCCAAGCTGAGTGATGACCCATGGTCAGAGTCTCCTTATCTGCTTCGTTAACCTGGGTAGCACGTGGCAAAGGAAGTTAGAATGCAACCTACTTTCCCCTACTAAGTCATGACAGTTGGATAATCAAAGCGACCTTAATCCTCAAGGTCGTTCATTAATAGTATTTTGAATAAGGCTTTTGGGAGATGTTTGGGCCATGAATGCATCTGCTCTCAAATTTAATAGATTAATGAATTCATGGGTCATTGCTTTGGGGCTAGCAAGGTGGTTCAGTGGGTAAAGGCAATTGCTTCCAACTTTAACGACCTACTTTAGATCCCCGGGGCTCGTAAGGTAGGAGAGATGCAACTTCCTCAAGTTGTCTTTTGCCTGTCCATACTCAGGCACACAGAAATGCATGCATGCATGCATACGTGCTAATTTGATTTTTGGGAATATTTGCTTATTGTGGATTAGCTTGGAAGACCTGTAGAAGCCAGAAACTGAAAAGAGCCTTTAGAGGAAGAGGAAGTTCTTAAGGGAGGGGGCACAGGAGGACCCAGATGGCATGCAGGGATGGAGGAAAGTAATGTGTTGGGAAGGTATAAGTGGAGAAAGGACTAGAAAATAAGGAGAAAGGGAGATGTGTAGAAAAGGAAGGGATAAGCAACAGAAAAGATTTTTAAAAACCATAAGGAACCTATTTCTTAAGCTTCCTAGGAAATATTTTTTAAGAGTTTAAATGGAGTTACCTTACATTTGGGGAGGGTTGGGATTGTGCTCCTCCTGAAAGCCATAGATTACCAAACAAAAATCCCAATGTCAGATGTGAGGTATCTCTGCCTAAATTATCAGTCAGAGGGACCCCAAAGATTACCAGAATAATACAGGACTTTACCTTTGCTCTTGGTTGGCCACCAGAACATGACAGGAAGACCTTATTGCTAAGATGAGATGTACTTTTGTCACAGGACACAGAAAAATCAAGCTGGTATTGATCTGGAAGTTTCCATCCCACTGTCTAGCTTTCGCAGAATCAGAAGGTGCCATGCAGGGTACAGGGGGAGAAAAGTCATCAACAGTCCTACCTAGCTGTGTACCAGGGCAAGCTGGAATAATGACTGGCCTAGCGAGACATGCCTACTGACGCAATTGTGGCATGAATATTTTGGGAGTAAACAACCATTTTCTGGCCGGATTTAAGGCCTGTCCATCAAAATAGAACGCATGCCTGGCACTGTAAACCACAACTAAGAATCTGTGGCCGGGAATCTTGTAGGTCCTGAGGGTGAATCTATTACTACTGTTTTGATAAGTGACAGTGTTAGATTTCCTTCTAAATGCTTACTTCTGTTCATTCCCACAGATTAGTGCAGCTCTCAGCCTTCATCAGACAAGCTTCTGTTTGCAGTAGACGAGGGTTAATCCAGAGACCCACACATGTTCAGACTCAGAGAACAAGTGCCTGTGGAGTGCTCAACCCTAAATGGGATATCTACATATCTCTCTCTCTCTCTCTCTCTCTCTCTCTCTCTCTCTCTCTCTCTCACACACACACACACACACACACACACACACACACACACAGAGAGAGAGAGAGAGAGAGAGAGAGAGGGAGGGAGGGAGGGAGAGGGAGAGAGAGAGGAGGAAGGAGAGAGGAGAGAGAGGGGGAGAGGGGGGAGTGAGAGGGAAAGAGAGAGAGAGAGACAGAGAGAGAGAGAGGAGAATGGAGAGAGGAGAGAGAGAGGGGAGAGGGAGAGTGAGAGGGAAAGAGAGAGAAAGGAGAGAGGAGAGAGGAGAGAGGACAGAGAGAGAGAGAGATCATATTCGGGAACTATCATAGAATAGGGAGCAGAAAATTTTAAAGATGCTAAGGCAGGTGACGACTGCTGAAAACAAACGACCAAGGCGATCTTTTGGCTGTGACAGTCAGGTCACTTGCGACCCACCTCACAGCAGCTGCGGTCACCTGTACAAGACCTGCGCAGGATCAAGCCAGTTAACCTCACAGCAGCTGCGGTTACCTGTACAAGACCTGCGCAGGATCAAGCCAGTCAACATTCCAGCATGGCTGGCGCCAGGGGGCCCTGGTAGGCGTCCTTTGACCCTGGTGGATGATGCACACATAGGAAACAACAATTTGACTCAGTGGTTTACAAAACTGTTTCTTTTTAATATAAGAGGAGGAAAAAACGTTGGGAGAGTAGAGTGACATGCCAAGGAAGAGACGGAACAGAGGCGTGGAGGGTAGTGTTATCAAAATGCATTGTCTCTCCTCTCTCTCTCTCTCTCTATATATATATATATATATATATGTATATATATATATATATAAAATACATTGAGCTCTCTCTGCCATGTGCAGTATCTCAGGGTTTTGCAGAGGCCTCATCAACAAGCAGCCCCACAGCAGAGCCATAGGGGACACATCTATAAAACCCTGGCACTGTTAGCGCTCAAGCAACATTTCAGAAGAGGGTGTGGAAAGATTGCAAAAGGCGGTGTATCAGGGACTCTGCTGTGAGGTTGTGTCTCCTAGTAACAGATGCTGTACTCACAAGTCTCACCAACAGGACCATAAAACTTGAGCTGAACCAAGAGGACATAGACAGGGAAAAGCCCACAAGGCCTCAACCCTACACAAAGAACCACAGATGTGAGCAGGAAAAGCAGTCCTCCCCAGGGAAGGGCATGCCAACTGGTTGTCCAGTGCCAAATGGTCAGCCCTGGAAACATGCATACAAGTAAAGTTATACAAACTCAACCAGTTACATTTATTAATATATATGTGTATGTACAAATGCATAAATGCATGAAATAAGAAATTAACGGAAAAACAGGCCATGAATTTGAAGGAGAACTGGAAAAGGTATGTGGGAGAGAGTGGAGGGAGGAATGGAAAAATAGAAGCATTGTAATTAAACAATAATCTCAGAAATAAATTTATACAGCATCTCCAACCAACACATAAACTGACAGATATAAAAGTTCAGCCATAATCTACTGGTGCTGGTTCACTGTAATGGGGTACCAAAATTCCCAGTCCACAGAATTGTAAATTAAACAAGTTATTATCACTTAAAAAAAAATAAGAAGTTCCACATCAAATGTAGCCTTTTAACTGTTGGCCTCCCAGACTCTAGAATCATTACCTGAGTCAACTTTTCTTCTTTACAAGTCACACATCTTGTGGTATTTAATCATAGCAACAACTAAATACAACTAAGACAGGTCTTATGAGTGCCCCTGTCTTGGAGAAGACGGAGACATGTGCACTGGTTGGACAGGTAAGATTTATGGGAACATCACAAGTTCCTGAGGACAGTGAGGAGGAGGTGAACAGGGTGGTTACCCGGCAAGATCACCGGGAAAGGAAAGTGGAAAGTTGGCTGTGAGCAGAACCACGGTTGGGGCAAGCAGCATACGGTGTTCAGAGCTGTACTGAGGTGCAGTACACCCAGCACCTGACTCTGCTGGGCCTGTCACTCACTTCTTTTCTTCTCTAGATTTGAGCAGCTCTGTTGCTTGGAAACTCACATAAAGCATGAAGGGTAAGCATTGCAAACAACCCTGTCCTAACCTACTATGCCCTGCTGTTATTGCCTTTATGGCATTTCAAGGTGAAAGTCTATATTTATCCACATCATTTTGCTTCCTCTGAAAATTTTCAGCCGACCTCAGAGAGGCTATGAAATCCCTCTTGCCTCTGCAGTACCCTGTGCTCTCACCCTCTGAACCTATTAGAAGCTGCTCATTGGAGGTTGGGTTCTTTGGACTGATGAACAGCGTGGGAGACATGCTCATGTCTGCTGTTCCTTTTGTCTCTTACATTCTGCTGTATGCCCTCAGAAAGGAGAACCCTTTATGGTTTGAGTTTCACATAAATAGTCTTCCCAGCTAATCTACTGCCATTGTGAGAACCTTCCTTGAGAAAAAGGCATGCCAGTCTCTGACAGTGCTCACCCACCCACTCCCTTTTCTCCTTAGGAAAAAAAAGGCTACTGTGGGAAAACTCACTTTGCAAGAATCCTATGCCTGAAGAGATGTCTGGCTACGGCGGAATGCTTTCCTTTGACAGGAAAATGAACAATTTGATAGCCTTTAAGAAAATAAAAGCAGTTCCTCACATTTTCTTCAGAAACAGGAAAAACTTAAGAATTCTAAGGGTGGGGGCATATTTAAGTATTACCAGTGTGTGAGTGTGTGTGTGTGTGTGTGAGAGAGAGAGTGTGTGAGAGTGTGAGTGTGTGTGAGAGTGTGAGTGTGTGTGAGAGAGAGTGTGTGTGAGAGTGTGTGTGTGAGAGAGTGTGTGTGAGTGTGTGTGAGAGTGTGTGTGAGTGAGTGTGAGTGTGTGAGAGTGTGTGTATGAGAGAGTGTGTGAGTGTGTGAGAGTATGAGTGTGCGTGTGTGAGTGAGTGTGAGTGTGTGTGTGTGTTTTGGCAAGAGGACATTTGACTCTTCTGAGCACTACAGGATTCATGAATGTGCTCAGCTTATCAACCACAGATCCACCAGGGAAGTGTCTGCTGCTGGATATCACACAGGTGGCTGTCTAAGGGACACGGGGTTTCAGATAAGACATGGAGCTGAGAACTTCCTTCATCATTGCTCACAGAGTAACTGAACAATGTTACAGACACTATCTGTGAAGAGGAGAACAATGTTACAGATGCTATCTGTGAAGAGCACAATGTTACAGATGCTATCTGTGAAGAAAACAATGTTACAGATGCTATCTGTGAAGAAAACAATGTTACAGATGCTATCTGTGAAGAGGAGAACAATGTTACAGACGCTATCTGTGAAGGGGAAGTTTGCCTATTTCCATTGCTTCATCTATGTAAGAACAGTGAGAGCATCACACCATCAGTGTGACTGTTGGAATGGGAACTGAAACGAACGCTGCACAGTAAGGAGTGAAGAGCTGTCTATAGAGGGGAGGAGAGATGGGAGAGGAAGAGAAGTGGAACAGTTTGAGCACTGTGACGTGAGGTAGGTGTGGGGATGCAGGGGTGGAGGGGAGGAGCCTGATGTGAGTACCCTCTGAAGCCACCTGAGGACATGGTGAAGTCCTGGCCCATGTCTTGCACATAACCTCACCCCATACTTACACATCATGGTTTGAGGTCTGGGTAGATCACAGACTGAGTGGGGTCTCTTATTCCTGCTCACTCTGCCTAAGGGTAGGCGGGGCCTCTGGATGTCTTCAAGTGTTTGTCCAACCCAAAACTTCCAGTGAAAATCAATCTCTGGCCAAAGTTAGACACAGCACAGTAAAACTGTAAGGCCATGTCTGAATGCATGGCCATGCAGCAGCAGGGGTCTGTATTCATATCCATGACCCATGTCACCACTGAAGGCATGTAGAGGTCACTGAACTGGACTGCCACCTGATACCATGCTGATACCCAAGGGTTGGCCCCACCCCTCACCGGTTACCACACCTGGAAGAACATGCCCTGTACCTTATCTGGGAATCCCAGTAGAGCTGACCCTCATGGCATGGGTGCAGATCAGCAGCTTCAAGGGCGTGTTTTAGAGAGAGAGCTGACCCAATCCATTGCTGCCTGAACAATGGGAGAGCTAGGCGGGGCATTGCTGCTGAGTTCTCCCTGGTGGTGAGAATAGGGGACAGGTGGCAGGCCACCAACTCAGCTACCACGCAGACTCAGATCCAAAAGTATGAGTAGGTCACCCAAACATCCACCCACCTATGAACTGCTGGAGCACGTGAAGGGGCAGGTCCTGCAGATCCAAAGGCTCTCCATGACACAGAGCAACATTAGGCTATCCAGACAAGTCCCAGTGAGGACCCAGTATCGATAGTGTAGCAGAAGCCAGAGGCCTCCGACTGGACCAGTAACTTAGTCGGATCAACTTGCAAGTAAAGATGTATGGATTAGGTCTCACTGACACCCTACAGCTTCCACAATGAGATTTTTTTTGTTTTGTCTTTTTTCGTTTTTTTGGTGGGGGAGGTTGCAAGGGCAGAGGGTAGATATGAAGGAATGGGGAGATCAGTGTGATTGGGGCACATGATGTAAAGTCCACAAAGAATTAATAAAAATGCTTTTAAAAACAGATGCATATGTATCCACAGAAAAACAAATCAAACAGTTCATGCACTAGGGATAAATATTGGTTCCACTGCTACTGACCTCACAAACTGCCCAAGCCACCCAACTGTCACCCATAGTCAGAAGGTCTCATTGGTTCTTATGCAGGTGTCCCAGCTGTCATCAGTTCAGTTAGTGAGCTCCCACTTGCTGGAGTCAGCTATTACCTATGGAGGGATACCTTGCTCAGCCTAGATACAGTGGGGAGGGCCTTGGTCCTGCCTCAAGGGATGTGACAGACTTGTTGATTCCCCATGGGAGGCCTTAATCTCTCTGAGGAGTGGATGTGGGATGGGGTACGAAAAAGGTTAGGGGAGCAGGAGGACCAGAGGGAGAGGGGACTTGGATTGGTATGTAAAATAATATTGTTTAAAAATAATAAAAATAAAATAAAAAATAAAGCAGAAATGCAAATCAAACACCGACAATAAATTGTAAGACATTTATTTGAAAACAGTTCTTCAGTAGATGTACAGTTTCACAACTTATTAAATCAGAACCACATTTACATTCTAATGAAGAGATGCATGTGCTTATTTGCTTATTTTTACCCAAAGGCTTGACTCTTTACTGAGTATCTGACACTGCGAGACAGGAAGCATTAACTGCTATTTTGATTTTACAGTTGTCAATGCTGAGGATTCCCATTTCACATAAATAGATATAGAACAAGATGACAAGCATATGTTTGGGCCATTTCAGAAGTGTTCTGTCTTAATCCAAAGCCAAAACTCATTTATTAGTTATTTATGCAACTCAACTCACTCAGCAATTGAAGCAATTTTGGAAATAATTCAACTCAATACAATCTGAAGACAGAATAATTTGATACAAGCTAAAGCATGATAATAGAAAATATATTTTTAAAATGTTGTTTTCCATAATTAATTTTTCCACTAGAGCAGAGAACTTGGCATGTGCAGTAAAATCACTGCAATCCATAGCACACTACAGTCTCCAGTCTGAACTGAGATGTCCCATGGAGTGTGTTCATGACTGATGAATGACCTGACATGCAGCATGGAGCTAAGGGTTCATGTGAGGGTCAAAACCAACACTGCAGTGAAACTACAGTGTATGACACGGGTGCACACTGCCAGAAACATCTCTGTTTCATTGCGTGTTTCTCTTGAACGTTACATGCTCACAAACCTTTCCATTTCCTAAGCTTTTCACATTCATTTACATGGTCTCCCTGGGGTTGTGTCTCATAGCATAAGAAGCTATGGTCAGCAAGAAGTATGTGATCCACAGTAGTCACAGGGATGGTGGTAATACAAAAACAAACAAGCAAAAGCCCACTAGTCAAATCAAAACAACTCTGAGATACTATCTTACTCCTGTCAGAATGGCTAAAATCAAAAACACCAATGACAATTTATGCTGGAGGAGATGTGGAGAAAGGGGAACATTCCTCCTGCTTGTGGGAGTGCCAACTCATACAACAACTTTGGAAATCTATGAAGATTCCTCAGGAAAATGGGAATCAATCTACCACAAGATCCAGCAATTCCACTCAGGTATATATCCAAAGGATGCAAATTCATGCAACAAGGACACTTGTTCCATTGTGTTCATAGCAGCATTATTTGTAATAGCCAGAACTTGGAAGCAACCTAGATGCCCCTCAACTGAAGAGAGGACAGAGAAAATGTGGTACATTTACACAATGGAGTACTACTCTGCGGGAAAAAAAACAATGGAATCTTGAAGTTTGCAGTCAAATGGATAGCACTAGAAGAAACCATCCTGAGTGAGGCAACCCAGTCACAAAAAGACAAACATGGTATGTACTCACTTATATATGGATTTTAGACATGGATCAAGAGAGTGCCAGTCTGCAATTCCACTGACAGAGAGTCTGGGAAACAGGAAGGAACCTAAGAGAGATATGCATGGTACCCAGAAGAGGAATGAGGCAAGGTCTCCTGAACAGATTGGGAACACGGCGGCGGGTGGGGGGAGTGGGAGCTGGGAAGAAGAAAGGGGGAGAAGAGGAAGAGAGAGTAGGTCATGGGGGAACAGGAAGGTTAAGTGGCGGGGGGGGGTAGAATAGGTGGAGAACAGGATGAGAAATACCATAATAGAGGGAGTCATAGGTTAGAAGAGAGATCTGGAACCAATGAGACCTCTAGTGATCTACAAAGATGACACCAACTGGCAAGCTAAGCAATAGTGGAGAGACTACCTTAAATACCCATTCCTGATAATGAACTTGACATCTACCTTATATGCCATCCTAGAACCTTCATCCAGTGACTGATGGGAACAGAGGAAAACACCCACAGCTAAACACTGAACTGAACCCATGGAACCCAGTGACAGAGAGAGAGGAGTGATGAGCAAATTGGCAAAGAATGGGCTGGCAAAACCAGCAGAGACAGATGATCTGAACAAGGGGGAGCTCTTGGACCCCAGACTGACAGCTGGGAGGCCAGCATAGGACCTCATTCAGACTCCTTGAGTGTGAGAGTCAGTGAGGAGGCCTGGGCAAACTATGGGGCCTTGGGCAGTGGATCAGTGTTTATCCCTGGCATACAAACAGACTTCGTGTGTCCATAACACAAAGAGGGATGCTCTCTCAGCCTGGATTCTTAGGGGAGTGCCTGGACCCTGCCCTGAGCGAAATGACAGACTCTGGATATCCCCTATGTGGAAGGAAGTAGGGATAGGGTGGGAGGCTGGGGGGATGTTGGGGAGATGTGGGAGGAGGAGAGGGAGAGGGAACTGGGACAGACATGTGAAGCAAGCTATTTAAAATTAAAATAATGATAATAATAAAAACAGCTGGGATAAAAGCACATTGCTTTCAAAAGAGCAGCAGCTATCAACACTTGCCTTTTCTCTGGTACAAATGGAAAATAAGAAACAGTGCGATGGTATTATCATTGTGTTAGTGAAAACACTCAGAAGGATACTCAGTGGGTAAGAGCACATGCTGCTCTTGCAGAGACCCCATTTTATTTCCAGCACCCAGGAACTGCCTGGAACCCCAGCTCCCTGGT